TTCTTTTCCTACTCTGCTCCCTCTCTTTAACCCAGCCACACCTGCCTCCTTGCTAGTCTTTGTCACATCAAAGTCCTTGGATTTGCCCTCAGCACACACAACCTTCCTCCACTGCTCACAACGCTCCCTCCAATCTGGTATCTGCTCCTGCCAACATCGTCTCCTCAGAGGCCGTCCCCACCAGCTTACCACCCATCCCTTCTCCCTTCTCCACTTTCTTTCCTTTATGCACCTGCTACTACTTGGTATTATTTATATGCACACACACAGATGCACGCAACCATCCACACAGCACCGGCAGCACCTCGCTCTCTGCTCCGTCGCCAGTCAACAGCAGCGCTCAAAGAACGCTCGCCGGGCCCTGAATGAATAAACCCATCCTATGTTTCAGACTGCGGTAATTAGTAAAACATAGGATGAATAAGCCATGTTTCCTACCTCAAACAAGCTAACACCCTAGCAGGAAAGAGGAACATGTTACAAGAAAAGAATCCACAGCTTCCGAGCGCACACACACAACATACACACAATCTGCTGTTCAATTTTATAACCTTCCTCAGTCCGTTTCCTAACCCATAGGCTAGGGATATTTGTAACTATTTTGCAGGACTGTCATGAATTAAGATATCATAAGTATCTTCCAGGTGGTAGTGACACAGCCTTTAATCTCAGCACTCAGAAGGCAGAGGCAGGTGAATCTCTGAGTTCAAGGCTAGCCTGGTCTGCAGAGTGAGTTCCAGGACAGCTAGGGTTACTCAGAGAAACTCAGTCTTGAAAAAAAGAAAGAAAAAAAAAAGATATCACATACAAAGTACTTTTCATGCCGAGTAGTACACTACGTACTTAAACACTAGCTAGTAACATTAATTGTTGACTCTAATGATCCCCTTGAGTCCAATGCCTAATCAACAGCTAAATCAGTATCTACCACAATGACACCATTTCTATTCCCCCCAAGACACACACCTTTTTTTGTTGTTTGGTTTTAAGACTCACTCTATAGCTCAGGCTGGCCTTGAACTCATGGAAACTGTCTTGCCTCAGCCTCCTGAGAGCTGGGATTACAGGCCTGACTCATCACACCTAAGTTTTGGCTTTTCCCGGTTCCCCCTTCCCTCTCTCCCTTTTTCCTTTTGAAAAGGGTCTCACTGTGGCCCAAGCTTGCCTTGAACTCATTATGCAGTTTAGATGTGCCTCTAAGTCATGGCAATCCTCCTGTCTCACTCTCTCAAATGCTGTAAGTATGTACCACTATGCACAGCTTCAAATCTAATTTAAGTAAACACAAATTTGCTGTTAAAAGAATCTATGCCAGTCCCTATGCCTACTACACAGTTCAATACTCAAATACAGAATATTCCACAGAAAGACATTTAAATTAGGTTTAGTCTTTATGAGAAAAAAATTTCAGTCTTGAAACAAATTTTCTTTCTTTTTTTTCTTTTTTTTTTGATTTTTTTTTTTCAAGACAAGGTTTCTCTGTGAAGCCCTGGCTGATCTGAAACTCACTCTGTAGACCAGGCTGGCCTCGAACTCAGATCTGCTTGCCTCTGCCTCCCGAGTGCTGAGATTAAATAGTTTTTTATTTATTATTATTGGGTGTACGCTATGTGGAACATACACACAAACTAAAGCAAACACACACACTGTGCATGCGAGGGAAGAGAGTGTGAGGCCAGAGTAAAACTTTGTGGAGTTAGTTTGCCCCCTCCACCTTTCCATGCCGGGGGACACAAAGCAGGCCGTCAGGCTTGCATAGCAAGCACTTACCCCTGAGCCTCCTTGTCTGCCCCTTGAACTGGGATTTGCTGATCTAACCTGTAGTACGGCTACTTGACAAAAGGGAACTGGAACACCAAGTACCATATTTTTCTAATCACCGATCACATTATTGTGTTCCTAATATCTGAGTTTAACAAGCCGAATATTCTTCCTACCTCCAAACACCCAGTCCTAACCCTTCCCACTGAAACCCCACCTCTCAAATTCTACAATTTACACTTAGATCTAAAAGAAAAGGGACAAGCTGGGCTTGGTGGTGCACATCTTTAATCCCAGCACTCGGAAGGCAGAAGGATCTCTGAGTTCAAGGCCAGCCTGGAACAGAGTGAGTTCCAGGACAGCCAGAGTTACAGAGAAATTCTGTCTCAAAAACAAAATAAAATAAAAGCAAAGCGATAGCTTATGCTTTAAAGTTTAGGACATAACTGTAATTCAGAACTGACCCTACCTTTTATCAGGGTATAGCTAAGCTCACAAAAACACAATAATAACCCGGATGGCCATCACCATTTTTTAAAGCAAAGCCTCTTCTGTTCTGTTTACGAGGCTCTAGGCCGCTTCTGAGTCCCCTGAGACAGCCTGTATTTGTCTCTCAGCTACAACCTTAGGCTCCTATGGTGCAGAATGAGGTTCAAGGAAAGCAGGGACTCAGTAAGCACTTGGAGCCAAGCGTCTCCGTGTACCAGATCCGAGACAGAAAATGAAATCCTCATGCTCAAAATTTTAAAAACTTCTTTGCTACAAAAGACAATGTGAATTTAAAAAATGTTCCCGGTGCATCCTCTGTAATAAAACAGGAGTCCTCCCACCCTTTAAATACCAGTCATTGACTCTGATTTCCAAATTAATTACAGGAAGCACAGTGTATTAAACACACGCATTCGCCACTTCCCTTAATTGAAAGTTGCTGATGTCCGACGACCCGACCGCTGGGCAGAATAGGAACCCAAAGTCTCAACCAGCAAGTAAGCCTGATCCAGACTGTGGAAAGCGAGGTGGGTGGGGAGGTGGCGATGACAGGAAAAATTCAGCTGACCACTGCGCCAAGTCAAGACTGTTGTTCACAGTCCTGGAGATGACACACGCTCCCTCCCACCCTCGGGCTGTCAACTCAGCTCTGTTGACCCAACACGGTGAACTCACAACGCTCAAGATAGGGGTGTGGACCTGAAGGGCCCGAGCCTGACCCACCCGAGGAAGCAGCTCGCCGCGCCCGGAGTGGAGGCTCACGGCGGCCCCGGCTGTGGCCTTGGCTGCCGCCGGGACCGGGCTCCGCGTCTTGGCAACCTCACCCAGGCCTGTCCCTCTGGTCGCCACCCTCCCTCCCCCCAGCTGGGTCCCTTCGCTCACTGGCTTGACTGATCCGCTGGATGTTGCCACTGCACGTCTGGATGATGCTGTTGAAGTCCCGGAGCTGGGGCCCCGAGGGCCCGGGATTCCGATACATGTCTAAGGGACCGTAGGACATGACAAGGAGCAGAGACCGGGTCGCGCTTCACGGCGCTCCTACCGGAAGCTGCCACTATCCGGGCCCCGCAGCTGAGAAGAAAACCGGGAAGAGAAAGGGCGGGGAGTAAGGAGCCACGACTGCGTGCGCACTGACCCCGCCCACTGACGGTGCGCACGCGCAAACTCTGCCCGTAGTACGCGTGCGCTGCTGTCATCTGAGAGTTTTCAAACTGCTTGCGGCGAACGTCGTCGCCGCAGGACCGAACTTCTCCAACTGCGCAGCCAGCAGCCTGCAGACGGCTCGCCCTGCGCTCAGCCGCGTGCCGGCCTCCAACATGCTGATCCGCACCCTACTGCTTGGTACGGCTCGGCCACCCTGCAAAACTTTGCTTTTCCAACCCATGTCAAAACCGAGGTGAATGTATGAGCGTGGGATTGGACTCATATAAATACGATTGTAGCCGGACAGGATTCTATGTTGAAAACTGTTCAACACCTACATTCTCTAACGAGAATAAAGTTACTGCTGAAGCTACCGCCAGCACGGAGTACTCCATGCTTACCCACTTCAAGGGATTCTGAAACATTATTAGTAACATTCCCTTCCTGCGGAATTCAGTAAAGAGATACGTGTTGCCAACCAGATCGCATTTGATTGCAGCCCACCCACTTACAAGGTGCACACCGCATCTACAAAACTGGGAAGCCTTTTCCGAACTCTCCTACTACACCAGAGCCCCTCCTCCTGTAGCAGATGACTGCCCATCTCCCAAGGTGCAGAAAGGGAAAAAGGACTTCCTGATTCAAAAGATTCTGGGAAAAGTTCTAAGAAGAAAGTTCACCCCTGATCCCCAGAGCACGAATGTGATGTTTTCATTTTTCGCCTAGCACTTCACCCAGCACTATTTCAGTACAGACTAGAAATGAAGACTTCCGTTCACCAGAGGAATGCACAAAGAAGGAACACCCAGAGTGGGTTAATGAGCGGCTCTTCAGAAAAGCAGGTTCATACTGATGGGAGAGACCCTTAAGATTGTGATCCAACAGCCCTTGAGTGGCATTACTTCAAACTGAAGTTTGACCTGGCTTTTCAATCAACGGTTCCAGTATCAGAACCGCATCGCTGTTGAGTTCTAACACTCTGTCCTTGGCATCCTCTGTTGCCGACACTTTTCAAATTAAAGACCAGAGGTATAGCTTTGATCAGTTGCTCTACAACGACTCTATTACTCATAGACCATGGACTGAACTAGTTCACCGACTCGTTCACCTTGCTATCTGCTGGCAGGGTTTCCATCGGTAGGAATGTCCCACTCAGTACAACAAGCCACCACAACCTCAATAAACCACAGCAGACAAGTGAAACTCTGAACGGGCACTGCAAACGCTTCTTCCTGAAGCCCGACAAATCATCTCAAGAACTCGGGAGAGAAAGACACTGCTGAGTTGAAAGCTCATATACGGTGACATTGATGCCATGGAGCTATTGCCCCACTGATAGAAAAACTTAGTCCAGATGCTGTTTTGGGGGGATACCCTAGTGGAAATTGGGGGCACCATTCTTCTTGGAAGGACTTATGTCTAATCATGTCTATTTTCCATACTATAGTGGTGTGGGAGAATTGTCTGTGTTCTGTCAATCATGTATTTTAATAAAACGCTGATTGGCCAGGCAGGAAGTATAGGCGGGTCAACCAGACAGGAAGTAGAGGCGGGGCGATGAGAACAGGAGTATTCCAGGAAGGAGGAAGCCATTCCTCCACTCCTGCGCAGATCACCGAAGAGGCAGCATGTAACTTGCCCAGCTGAAAAAGGTACCAAGCCATATGACTAACATAGATGAGAATAATGGGTTAATATAAGCTATAAGAGTTAGCAAGCGGGGCTGGAGTGATGGCTCAGTGGTTAAGAGCACTGCCTGCTCTTCCAAAGGTCCTGAGTTCAATTCCCAGCAACCACATGGTGGCTCACAGCCATCTGTAATGAGGTCTGGTGCCCTCTTCTGGCCTGCAGACATTCACACAGAATATTGTATACATAATAAATAAATAAATATTTAAAAAAAAGAGTTAGCAAAAAGCCTGACCTAATGGGCCAATCAGTTTATAACCTTATGGAGTCCTGTGTGTGATTTCTCTTTGGGATTTGACGGCTGTGGGGTACCGGGCAGGATGGAAACCCCAACAAGCCGGCCCCCTCATGCTACACTATAGGAAGCCAAGCACTTTTGGAGGAGAAGTAAGATCATCAACGCTGCCGCAATTCAATGTCTCCTCCGCAATAACGTGAGGGGCTGTCCCTTCGCTCTACTCGGTGTTCCGAGCCAGTGCCTCCCCGAACAGCCACTGTTAGTGCAAGTTCTTTGGCACCAGACAGTGACTGATATCAGATCCCTCCAGATTTGGGGGAACGCTAGATGGGGCAAATGACAGCAAACAGTTGGAGACCTCATTGAATAAGGTTCGGCAACCATGTTGTGTCTCCCCAGAGTCCACTGACAGCTTGCAAGAATTTTAGATTTGCATAAAAGTGTACGAGATTACCTCAACCCTTACTTCCTACTCTGTTCTATTCTGAGAACCCAAGCTCAAATACGGGAGAATTAAGCAATCTTGAGATTCAGATCTGTAGCCAATCAGCGGCTCTTATGGGTTTCAAGCTATTTTTCTTTCTCCTTCCACTCATAATCTAAGCAATAAGGCAATAATATTTGTTGGGAATCCTCACTTTAGGTCACTGATTCATAAATATTTCACAGCAAGGAAGCACCCCCCATTTTTATCTTTAAAGTAGATTTTAAAAATTAATTTTTATTTTATATACATTGATGTTTTGCCTGCATGTATATCTGGGTAAGGGTGTTGGATCCCCTAGAACTGGAGTTACAGACAGCGGTGAGCCACCGTGTGGATGCTGGAAATTGAATTCAGGTCCTCTGGAAGGGCAGTCAGTATCCCCAACAGCTGAGCCCTCTTTCTAGCCTCTGAAGTAGGTTTTTTTTCAATGTGATGAAAGTTAACACAGAAAAGTAAGTAAGCATTATTTTCCCTTTTGCAGGTGAGAAAATTAGGACATTGAATATTGATCACTTTGAGGTTTGATTGAAAACCCAGACACTTAGCTAACTCTCTCACTGCTCCCTAAACCCATTCCCAGGGGAGATGGCTCAGCAAGCAAAGGCACGTGCTGGCAAGCATGAAGACCTGAGTTCAAGCCCAAGGGTCCCCATAGTAGAAGGAGACAGCTGGCAAATTGTCCTCTGACCTCCTGCACCTGTTGTGGCAAGCAACATATAAACACACACACACACACACAAGTATAATTAGTTTCTAAATGTTTTTAAAAACCTCATTTCCAAGTGCTGGAGAGATGACTCAGAGGTTAAGAGCACTTGCTGCTCTTCCAGAGGAAATGAAAATGATATTTATGCCCTGGCAATGCGGAAGCAGGCGTGGGCAGTCCGTTTGTGGCGGTTCTGTTAAACTTGTCCATAGCGGGTTTCATGGTCTGAGTTGATGAGGACAACTGACCAGGTCACTTCCTCAAGAGGGCCCCAGATCTCATTAATTACAGATAATTGTGAGTCACTGTGCAGTTGCTGGGAACTGAACTCAGAAACTTTGGAAAAGCAGGCAGTGTTCTTAACTGCTGAGCTATCGCTCCAGGACTTGAGTTCAATTCCCAGCACCCAGATGGTGACTCACAACCATTCTATAATGAGATCTGGTGCCCTCCATGCCGGCAGCACATTGTATGTATAATAAATAAATTTTAAAAAATCTAATCCCATTTTACAAAATTCATTATCTGTCCAAGTTCCTTCCAAAGAATCTGCGTATTTCTACCAAACATGTAGCCCTGGCTAGCCTGGAACTCCTTATGTAGACCAGGCTGTCCTCAAACTCATAGATCTCTACTTGCCACTGCCTCCTAGATCCCAAACAAGAATTTCTTAGCTAATTCCTGAAAATTTGAGCACTCTGGAATCTAGCTGCAAAATGATTTCATAGAATGTTGCATTTTGTGGGCATGTGGCAAAAGGGAAAACATGGACAGGACAGGACATTGCACTGGAGGGATACTGATGACCGTGAAGGGAGCTGTGGTTGCCTGCATCCTACACCCCACCAACTCCAGCCTGCTTCAATGTCTTAGAAATGAGAAGAGAGGAAGCAGCTTGTAAGTGGCAGTGGGGATTCCACATATGTGAATGAGCCTGTGTCCACCTCTAGGGATTTTTAAAATTAATTTATTTAACCTTTATGTACATTGGTGTGAAGATGTCAGATCCCTGGAACTGGAGTTAAAGACAGTTGTGAGCTGCCATGTGGGTGCTGGGAATTGAACCTGGGTCCTCTGGAAGAGCAGCCAGTGCTCTTAACTGCTGAGCCATCTTTCCAGTCCCCACCTCTAGAGGTTTTAAAGCAAAGCTATCTCTATTTTTGGTTGGAATTCATTTATGACAATATTTTCCCTTGTATAGAAAGGGACAGATTAAGGGCTGTGAATGTTAACTAGAGCACTCACTTAGCATGCACAAGACCTTGTGTTTGCTGGGCACAGAAGAACACATCTATAATGTCAGCCCATGGGAGGCTGAGAGTTCTAGGCCAGACAGGACTACATAGCAAGATGCTGTCTTTTTTTTTTTAAAAAAAAAAAAAGGAAAAAGGGGGCAAGGGGCTGGAGGAAATATAGTTGAAAGGAAGGAAGGAAAGAAAGAAGAAAGAAAGGAAGGGAGAGAGAGAGAGAGAGAGAGAGAAGGAAAGACCCTGAGTTCCATGTCTAGCATCACAGAAACAAATCTGGCATGGAGGTATGTGCCAGGCATCCCACCACGTGGAGGATAAGGCAGGAAGATCAGGAGTTCAAAGTCATCCTCAGTTACACAATAAATTAGGAGCCAGGTTGGGTTACATGAGACCCTGTCTCAAAAAAAAAAAAAAAAAGACTTGTCATGTTAAACAAATGCTCTTCCACTGAAATATACATTCAGCCCTGTTGCAAGTCTATCTGACACAGATACGACACAGAGACGTGTTATGAATTAGGACAGCTCGGCCAATAGCTTAGGCTTGTTTCTAACTAACTCTTATAACTTAATCCAGTTCTGTTACTTTCTGCCTTGTGTCTTTATTACCTCATCCCCATAGTGCCCATCCTGCTCACTCTATGTCTCATGGCATCTCCACCTCTTCTTCCCAGTGTCCTCTCTGCCTCCCCCCAGTCCTGCCTAGTTGTTTAGCTTTTTGTTAAACCAGTCACAGTGACACATCTTCACACAGTGGGAAAGAATATTCCACAACATAGCCCCTCCCCAACCCTGTTGAGACATGTTCTCAATACACTGCCCAGGATGGCTTTGAATTCAGCTCAGGCAGGCCTTGAACTTTTCTTTCTTTTTTTTTTTCCTTTTTAAATATTTATTTATTTATTTTGTTTACAATATTCTGTCTGTGTGTATGTCTGCAGGCCAGAAGAGGGCACCAGACCTCATTACAGATGGTTGTGAGCCACCATGTGGTTGCTGGGAATTGAACTCAGGACTTTTGGAAGAGCAGGCAATGCTCTTAACCACTGAGCCATCTCTCCAGCCCCAGCCTTGAACTTTTCATCTTCCTGCCTCAGTTTCTGGAGTGTTCATGTTCTGGTTTGTTCAGGAATATTATTTTCAGGTGTGTGATTTTTGTTTACACTGCATTTGTTTAACCCTGTGAAGTTGTGTTACTGTGCCTGTCTAAAACACCTGATCATCCTAATAAAGAGCTGAATGGTCAATAGCGAGGCAGAAACAAGCAAAGGCAGGGCTGGTGGGCAGAGAGGATAAATAGAAGAAGAGACCAAGAGAACAAGGAGCAACAAGAGAAGGAGAGGAGGACACAGGGGTCAACCACCCAGCTACACGGCAAGTCACGGAGAAAGAAGTAAAGAAAGGTACACAGAAATAGAGAAAGATAAAAGCCCAGAGGCAAAAGGTAGTCAAGGTACACAGAAATAGAGAAAGATAAAAGCCCAGAGGCAAAAGGTAGTCAGGATAACTTAATATAAGAAAAGCTGGCTAGAAACAAGTCAAGCTAAGGCCAAGCATTCATAACTAGGAATAAGCCTCTCTGTGTGATTTATTTGGGGGCTGGGTGGTGGGCCCCGCCCCCAAGAAGAAAAAAGAGTAAAACATCACTCAAAACTGGTTGTTAAAATTCTAATAAAATCTGGATATGGTGGCATGTGCCTTTAATCACCCAGCACTTGGGAGGCAGAGACAGGTAGATCTCTTTGGTTTCAAGGCCAAGGCAAACTGGGTCTACATAGCAAGTTCTAGGCCATCCAGGAATACACAGTGAGACCCTTCCTCAAAAAACAAAGCAAAACATATGAAGGGCTCACTGGGTAAAAGCCCTTGCGCTGCAAGGATGAAAACCTGAGTCTGAATACCAGTAGCACCCAGGTAAAAAGCTGCACACAGTGGCCGGGGACGTGGCCTAGCAGTCAAGAGCGAGGTCCTTGAAGATGACTTGGGTTCGGTTGGTTCCCAGCACCCATTTGGTGGTTCATAACCATCTGTAACTCTAGTTTCAGAAGGTCTGATGCCCTCTTCAGGTACCAGGCACACACATAGTACACATATATACATGGAGGCAAAACCCTCATATGCATAAAATAAATAAGTCTTTAAAAAAAAAGGAAAGAAAAAAAACCTAGCTAAGCAGTGATGGCATGCGCCTTTAATCCCAGCACTCCGGAGTCAGATGCAGGTCGATCTCTACGAGTGTGAGGCTAGCCTGATCTACAAAGCAAGTTCCAGGACAGTCAGGGC